TAAAGAATCCACCGAGGGTCTTATCGTGAACTTGAATTACGCTTGATGTGTGGCTGCCTCTTAAAACTCCAATGAGGTTCGGCTGTCAAGCTCTTAGGCCTAAAAGGAGACTTTTAAAAGAAGTGTTAAACCCTCTCAAGCTTACAAAAACACCTCTCTACATGACAGTTATATGACCCTCAGGAACATGAATAGCTTTATTTGGAGTAGTTTGTCGGAACACTTTTGCAAACAATAGTGGAGCGCCATTGTTTGAGCTCTTAGATGCAGTAAAACATTCCTTGAGAAGACAAAGCTTGTGGTTTGGTGGACTATTAATCATCACTGGCACTTTAAATGAGTATAAAAACAACAGACAGATGAAAAGGTACTCCGTATCGCCCATATCCTGTTCTGAGGGGGGAAAAACATTTTGTGCCACTTTCCGCTTGTTTTGCAGGGCCCTAAAGAACTCAATCGCCTTCCGTTCTCGAATAGGGAGTGCGTTTTTTTGGAGTGGAGGATTAGATCATAATTATTGAGAGCCATATCAATCTTCTGCAGGTCGGAGAGCGGAAATGCCAGGAGAAATAGCACCTTGATCTCTCGTTCTTTGATTACACCCGCTCTTTGGCATCCCAGCTCTAACCTTAACAAGCACGAAAGAAGCTACAGTAGCTTGAGATTAGCAGGAAAGGGCAGCATCTCGTAATACCAAGGTAGGGTGCGAGACAGAGTCAGAGTTCAAGATGACTGATCAACGCATGCTTTGATATGAAACTAGACCAGAGAGACTGTGAGGGATGTCCCAGTGTGACTGTCAGAAAATAGGTCCGCTGCAAAGACCTCTTTTACGGTTGCTGGGTTTTCTAGTTATGGAGGGATAACAAGACTAAATCCAGGCTTTAGCGAGATCAAAAGCACTGCAGTGCACACAGAGACACATTCAGTCCACAGAATCACAGTGTAGTTCAGAAAACAGCAGCACGTCAATGGGACGCAGTGATCTGTTTCACTCTCTTGTTGTTCACTATACAGATTTATACTGCTGAACACTGCAAAAAAAATATATATATATATATATAATAAAAATAAATAAATTATTATATCAATAATAATCATAATTTGTAATAAAACTAATAATTAATAATATTTTTCTTATTTTCCAGTAAAATAATTGAATATCCTTACAAAATAACATAACAAATAAATAAAATAATTTTTAATTTATTAAAATAATTTAATAAATGTGTATAGATAATAATCAATAGTTTGTTTTTGTTACCCAATTGGATTTCCCCCCCTTGTTTTAAGCAAAAGTCTGAGTAAATTTTGTTATTTTGTTAATTACACTAATTTAAAATTACTGTTTTCTATTTTTAGATACTTTAAAATGTAATTTGCGTCTTTGACATGATCCTTCAAAAATTATTCATAAATGCTGATTTGGTGCTCAAGAAACATTAGCCTATTTATCAATGTAGAAAATAGATAAGCGGCTTCAAATTTTTGTGGAAACTGATAAATTTTTTCCAGAATTATTTAATGAATAGAAAGTTCAAAACAAAAGCATTTATTTGAAATAGAAAACAAAACAAAAGCATTTATTTGAAATAGAAAACAAAACAAAAAAACAATCTTACCGACTACAAACTTTTTAAAAAAGTAGTGTATATTAAGATATAATTAAGATATAATATATAAGTTATCTTAAGTTTGCTTATATGATTAATCTTATTTTAATAGAAAATAATGAACTAGAAAATAAGACAAAAATATCGATTAGGAATTTTTGTGCAGTGCAGATGACTAGATCTTGACATGCACACAAACACACCCATAAGAGACACAATTTTGAGCAGAGCTTTGCATTAATGTGCTATAAATGATCTCCAGGAGGATTGCGCCTGACGGACAGAATTGCTTTGGCTTTCACAAACGACAGAGGCGCTTACACTGCTTCCATGTGGGCGAGCGAACCAACAAACACATGTGCACACACACACATACACACACTGCTGTGCTGTAGCCATCAGTAAGGATGATAAAAGAGATAATAGCTCATGGCCTGGTGGACCGCAGCGGCTCCCACACAAGGGAGAAAAGTGAGAAAGAAAACGAGAGGATGGAGTAAAGAAACATCACCTAATGGAGTCCACTTCACACTGCAGTCTAGAGCACTGCCTACAATACACACCCTGATGTGAATATAAATAAAACTAATCTGTAACATACTAAACCATCGGCTAATCACAAAATAACACCACCATTATGGGCTCAACGAATAACTTGCTAGACCAAACAGGATGCGAGACAGATTCTTATTGTTCAGCGCACAAGATTTTGTTTAACAGACGGCACAGACTCGCAGTAATACAAGCAAAAATGTTTAGTCTAGTTACAGCAGCGAGTACTGCACTCAAAACATTCTTAAGCAGAATTTTGCTTTTTTTCTCAGTAAAAACATCTAAAAATGTTGTAAGGTATGATTTATATGATATAATAATACTTGATTTTTATATATTCTTACCAAATTACCAATGGAGTAGAAAAAAATAAACTTAATTCAAGATATCTTCACAGAAAACATAATAAAATCTCAAGTAGTTTTGCTTCAAGTATACATTTAACTTGTTTCAAGTATGTTTACATATTTTACTGGAAAACAAGACATAAATACATAAGAAATTTATTAGCATATTTTGTTAATCCCTGTTTTTTAAACAGTTTTTCCCCCTTCTGTCTCAAGGTTTCTCCGATGTTGGGGTTGATTGCTGGGACACTCATTCTCATTGTTGTCCCTGAGCCAAAGAGAGGGAGTGCTGACCATATCACTGGACGTATAAAGACACGCACTTCCTGGCTCTGTGACATGAAAGCTCTTGCCAAAAAGTATGCCACTTGTTTATTCTTTTTCCCTATTTATGGAAGCAGTCGACTGTGGCATAATAAAAGCTCCGCTGCTTTCGAGCCGAGTGTCACACTCGTTCAGCGACCTCGTTTCGCTTCGACGGCTTTCAGCCTTTCTGCTTCATTCTACTACGTTAATAAATCATTAGCTCATCCATGAACATGATTTCTGCCCGAGTCCCGTCGGATTGCATCGGCTGTGGGGATGAAGACGACAACTCCCATGATTCCACACTCAGTCACAGCGTCATCAAACTACGCCTTTGTTTATTTTGAATACGCGCCCTCTAGTGGCGAAAAATTACATATTGTGCCTTTAAGAACGCAATGAACCAAATATTCAGGATTGGGGGGTACAAGATGTAATCACTTAACAATCAGCCATCGAGTCAGAATATTGGACCCCTCAAAGTCTATCATTTTTATGGTCCTGCCTTCACTTGAATTTGGTAACAGTGTATTGGAGCAGTTGGAGTTGTAAAATTTCAAGCAGTTTTTACAGTATCCTGTGGTGTGACAAAGTACAATTCAACTAAAACTGTTTAAATTATAAATACATTGTATCATTTTAATTGATTGTTTACAAAAATGATTCACACCACTGGACCAACCATCTTAGTTGTGGCCAAGCTGACAAAAATTAAGGAGCTCTTAAGAGTAACAGAAAAACGCATGCAGATGCAGAAAAATGCGAATGCAGAAAAACTTAAGAATTATGCATACTCATTCATTTTCTTTCTGCTCCCCAGCCGTAGTTATGTATTTTCATCTCTGGCATCGGCCGCTGTGTCATTTGCCACGGGGGCGTTTGGGATCTGGATCCCGCAGTACCTGGTCAGAGCTCAGGTGGTGCAGAAGACAGCAGTGAGCTGCACCTATCAACCATGCAGCAGCAAAGACAGGTCCCAACATACATATGCCACTTAAAATGTATTGTACAAATACAAACATTACACTTTTGACAATGACAATATTTCTCTCTCATCTCCAGTTTGATATTCGGAGCCATCACCTGTGTGACGGGGCTGTTGGGAGTGGTGATCGGTGCCGTGACCACACGGCTCTGCCGACAGAAGACGGAGCGTGCCGACCCGCTGGTGTGTGCGGTCAGCATGCTGGGCTCTGCTATCTTCATCTGCCTCATCTTTGTTGTGGCCAAGAAGAGCATTGTGGGAGCGTATGTAAGTAGCTCTATTTTGACTCTTCAAATTACCTTAAATCTTAATCTTAAATACACAAACAGGATTTTAAGCAATGTACTACATATCTCTTCTAAATGTCCTCCATGGGTTACACATCTATAATCTGTTACAATATTCTTCATTATATTAGTTGGCATGGGATTGTGGTGCAAACACTGAGATTCTGAAAGGTTGCTTAACACTGTGGCCTGAATATCTCTAGTACAACTCCCTTCTGACTATCCTTGTATTATAATGAGTCTTCTCAGTCAAAGTCAAATAAGGTCACTTCTATTCAGAGTTGTATATAAGGCTTTAAACTATATAAAGTCTGTTGCATTCAGTAGGTTTAACAGCCATAGTTGCTTGGCAGGGTTGTTAGGTCCAAACCCAACACTAAAAGAATAAGAGCGACAGGCACTGCGTACTTGTTTAATTGGCATGTAAAGCAGGAAAAGGGAGCAGTTTTCACAGTTACTGCTGAGAAACAATGGGCTGTGGCATTTCTGAGTCACTAATAGAGAAAAGTTATGCTGCATAAGAAAACAAAAAAATTCTATCAGGTCACGCTCGTTCTTTCAACAAAAACAATCAGGTCAGAACTAAATGCAACACGCTCCCTAAAGGGTCAAGCCGGACTGGGAATCTCTTAAGTGTTTATGATGAGAAGTCTGATGAGAAAGTATTTTTAGGGACTGTTTGTCTTTCCTATGAACAAAAGAACCTAGTACACTGTGATAATGCCATCTATCTGGTGTTATGCTTGAGAAATTCTAAGCTTGCTCAACGTTAGTCACCTTATCTTAAATATGAAAGACTGGCTACTAACTGTACCCTCAAACTGATCTGGTTTTGCAGCCTCTTGAGCCTTTGTTAAAAGTTGTGATGACTTTGAAAAGATTTATTAAGCAGACGGTGGGTAGAACTTACCTGTGGGTAGAACTGGCTGCTCAGGTGTCTAGTTGGGGGTCACATGAATTCACACAATCTATAATAAATAGCACAAGAAAAGAATAACAATTTATAGTATAATAAAAGTAATTAAAAATTGTTTTTAAATTCCATAAAAAATGCATACTACTGTTCAAAAATTTGGGGTCAGTAAGATTTTTTTAAAGAAATTAATATTCAGTAAGATGTATTAAATTGATCAAGTGACCGTAAATACATTTATAATGTTACAAAAGATTTCTATTTGAAATAAAGCCTGTTTTCTTTTTTACTTTTCTTCAAAGATTCCTGATAAAAAGTAACACTGTTTCCACAAAAATATTAATTAGCACAACTGGAGTAATGCACTGAAGCACTGAAGACTGGAGTAATGGCTGCTGAAAATTCAGTGTCGCATTCAAATAAATAAATTACATTTTGAAATATATTAAGATAGTAAATATTTACTTAAAATTGTAATAATATTTCACAATATTACTGATTTTACTGTATTTTTTGATCAAATAAATGCAGCCTTGGTGAGCATAAGAGACTTTTCCAAAACCATTAAAAAAGTGCCAACCCAAAACTTTTGAACGGTGGTGTATAAAGTCATTTAAATATAAATCACAGTTATCTCACTAAACACTTTATAGTAAATTGGAAAATGTGGAAATGGAAAAAGTGAATGCCTGTCAGTCTTACTGAGAGCAACAGGGCAAATTTTACAGTAAATAATCAAATTTAAGCTATTTATAGAATTGAATGACACATCATTTGGACCACTGGCCTTCATGCCATCTTGTCAAACAGGTAACATTACAGTGTCAGTTCTGCGTAAAAATATACCCAGCTCCCAACTAAAGACATGAGCGCCCTTTCAATCACTTGTCAAGAGGCTTCTGTAATTACATCCAAATGGAGCATACAAAAAATAAGGAATCCAAAACTTTAAGGAGGGAAAATATTTGGAGCGAGAAAATTTGATAGTGACAGATGTGCAGTCTGAGAATGTGACAGCACGCTGGAGCTCTGTCAGGTCTGTTCCAGCAGGGACAGTTGCTGTCTCGTCAGCATGTTAGCAGATCACACTTCAGCCCTTAACCAGAGTCCTGCAGGGCTTTATAGTTTTAGCCTGTCTGTCCATCCGTCACGCTGTCTAAGTCTCAAGTCACTTTGGGACAGAGTTTCATACATGTCCGAACACACACGGACACTTTCACGCTTTCATTTCCTCACCTTCTATTCAGATATTCTTTTTCAGACCGGCATATAAATGGAAGGTTCTAGACCCATAAACTAAAACCATCACCTCTGTTTTACACCCTGAGGTCATCCCTCTGTCAGCCCTGCTCAACATATCACTCTGAGCCCAACATAAGACCCTGTCAAAGTCAGAACGGTCACTTGAACGATCAAATTCCCCTGCAACCTACAGTTCTTCACACAATCCCATCTGGTTTGACCCCAGCAGCTGCCGTCAGTCGCATTTTGGCCTCAGAGATGTGGAAAGACCATCTACATTCTGTCAAGTCACTAAGATTAGTGGAGATATTCAATCCTTGTGTCTCAATCTGCCATAAGCACCTAGAAAATCCAGACCAGACACTGAGGGATATCAGTTAATTTGTGTGGGAATGCTGAAGTCAGTTAGTCTGTTCTCGTGGGATCACGCGAGACTGTTAAAATAACTTGTTAAACGTAACACGTTTTCAGCCACCAGACATTTTAGGTTCCACTCTAGTATAATGCAAACCGCTTGTCTCTTTTTTACGGTTTGGAGCAAGACACGGTTCTGTTGGCCTCAAATCAAAAATTACATATAGCACAACCACAGTATAATGACATGTTTTCATATCCCACAACATTTATTGGGGTGTTTTGATTTAGTAGATGAGCTGGGTTAATTGAGTCTTTGACCAACTGCAAACCCTGCTATCTGAATGTATTTATGTGCAAGTAGAGTAACTTTTCATTTTGAAGAATAAAATGAGATATAATTGACCTTTCTTCTTCTATTTTTCTCCCCTCACTCTCTTTCTCCCTCTCTTTTTCTTCACAGATCTGCATTTTCATCGGAGAGACACTGCTCTTTTTGAACTGGGCCATTACAGCGGACATTTTAATGGTTCGTATTGAAAGCCTGTATTTATCTGCTGCATCGAGTGGAAAATTTAAAGCGTTTAACTGTAACAAAAGTGGTCATCTTCTCAGGCTAGTTTCTTATTTTGAATGGTGGGATGCATGACTACGAGGTTTGGTATAGCCTGGGTGGGGCCCAAGACAAAATTGCTGCCTTTGATTGCGCTTAATGGAAACGCCACTCATGGAAAATAAAACAAAATAACATTTTCAGTTTGAATGTTTTTGTCTGAAGGAAGCGAGTGAGTTAGAGAAACTCAGAGAGAGAAGAGCGAAGCAGTAAACAGAGAGTGAAAGATTTAGCAAGAAAAGCTGTCATGAAGTTGAGTCAGTCAAGGTCTTACTGCATACTTAAACTCCAGTCAGCTTCGGTCAGTGTAAAGCACTCTGACAACATCTGCTTAAAGCAGGGGTCGGGAACCTTTTTTGACCAAAGATTTACAACCTGAGAGGGATGAATTCTCTTCAGAGTTCTCTCTCTCGCACGCGCGTGTGTGTGTCTAAGAGACTGAGTGAGTGAAAAATAATGCACGGTGCCGACCGTATTTATGTGAATACACACCAGTGCAGGCATTTTGACACTCCGTGTTTTTACCGTTTTAGGCGCGCCACCAAAGACAAATCTACTATGCTTGTCCGTGTTCCACCTGGACCTCGCGCGCAGAAAACATCCAGTCAGAAGCGGATTGAGTTCTGTTTCGCGGCTTTGAGTTTTTAATACTGTCTGTCTTTTTAATATCAAGAATGTCCCGCTCTTTACTGTCTCATTCATTCACGTTCCTTTATTAATAACGCTAACAGTCCCACCCGCTGAAAGCTGCGTGGAAAAAGCAAAAGTAACCGGCGAAATGTTTCAAAGTATAAAATATATAAAACAAAGTATATGTTTCAGTCATGTCACTTTTTTTTACATACTTTTACACTTTCTCTGCTGTTCAAAAAATCTTTCTTTTCGCTATTACCACAAAGCTACGAATCTGAGTGCAGGAGCTGTATGTTACCATAGAAGCGTCAATGGTTTGCTCGTGACTCTCGCGAACAGCTCTGAACGTGCACTGAACACGCACTTTGGCCGGTACAGAAAATGTATTATTATTTTACATGTATATGTAGAGCTTATGTAGGCTCTACAACAAAGGAATTGCTGATCTCTAGTGATGTCTAATTTGTGTAATAGATCATTTGTTAGTAAAGGGTGAGAGATCTGGCGAGCCACATGATTTTTGTCAAAGAGCCAGGTGTGGCTCGTGAGCCATAGGTTCCCGACCTCTGGCTTAAAGGGATAGTTCACCCAAAAATGAACATTTGATGTTTATCTGCTTACCCCCAGGGCATCCAAGATGTAGGTGACTTTGTTTCTTCAGTAGAACACAAACGAAGATTTTTAACTCAAACCGTTGCAGTCTGTCAGTCTTTTAATGGCAGTGAATGAGAATCACGGCTTTGCGAGTCAAAAAAACATACACAAACAAAACCAAATTAAAACCTGCGGCTCGTGACGATACATTGATGTGTAAAGACACGAAACGATCGGTCTGTGCAAGAAACTGAACAGTATTTATATAATTTTTTACCTCTGATTTACTGCAACGTCCAAACTGTCCTGAGCGCGTTCGCATCTTCTTCTTCAGCCGGCGTGTGACGCATCTTCTTCTTCTTCTTGCTTTACAGCGGATCGCAGACTTATAAGTACATTACCGCCACCTATCTCTCAAGTGGACCATTGACACTCTTAATTGAGATTGTAGATAGAGTGTCAATGGTCCATTTGAGAGATAGGTGGCGGTAATGCACTTATAAGTCTGCGATCCGCCGTAAAGCAAGAAGAAGAAGAAGACGCATCACGCTCCGGCTGAAGAAGAAGACGCGAACGTGCTCAGGACGCGCTCAGGACAGTTCGGACATTGCAGTAAATCAGATGTAAAAAACGATATAAATACTGATCAGTTTCTTGCAGAGACCGATCGTTTCGTGTCTTTACACTTCAATATATCGTCACGAGCCATTTTAATTTTTGGGTGAACTATCCCTTTAAGTGAGCACTCATGGTACTTTTATTTTCCTGTTATGATTTAATGTGAAATTCTCACAGCTGTTTTCATATCACCTCTTTTCTCTCTCCAGTTTGTTGTCATACCGACCAGAAGAGCCACTGCTGTTGCCTTCCAAGGCTTCACCTCACATTTACTAGGGGATGCTGGGAGCCCATACCTCATTGGCTTGGTAAGAATGTCTCACACACAGGGCAGGGAACCGCAGTGCTGCCTGCTACTAGTATGTACTGCTCAGTATTAAGTACTTGGCATGTACAGACATTATATGGCGGTCTTGGAGTTGGTCAGTCTAATCAAAGTGGAAGTGAAGCAGTCAGTCATGTTTACATTATTTAGTAAACTGATTTCCACTTTAATAAAAAATATATAACAAACACAATTAATGTAACCATTTTAAAGAAAAATTATGTTTGTTATAGCTTTTGGAGCATTGACACCGCCAATGGAGCAATACCACAGTGTGTGACGTCACGGGGTTGGTTTGCTTCGTTGGCCAGTGAAGTAATGTAAGCATTTCTTTACTTTTTGAACACACGATCGTTCAGAGAGGTGATTAGATTTAGTGTCTTGTTAACAGCTGCAAGCTAATTGTATTAACAGGTAATGCAAATATCTCTGAAAGGTCTGACATAACAATAAGATGCCACATGAACGATATTGTATGAAGCGTTGTTTGTTTACATCACGTTGCACCTCGGGTTATGAAAACAATGTTTGGGATACCACGATCAAAACTTTATGATGTAGACAGTTTGATGTTGGATATTCATCAAAATTATGGTGAAAACCAAAAACATTTGTGAGTTAAAAAAACGTTTGTGTGTTCAAAAAGTAAAGAAATTCTTGCATTACTGCAATGACCAACGGAGCAAACCAACCTCGTGACGTCACACACTGTGGTATTGCATGATGGTGGTGTCAATGCTCCTAAAACTATAACAAAACATCCTTTTTTCTTTAAAATGGTTACATTAATCGCGTTTGTTATATATATTTTTAATAAATGAGGAAAAGAGTTTACTAAATAATGTAAACTTGACTGCTTCATTTCCACTTTAAGGTCTGAACCACCTAAATGAAGTCTAAACAAAACAAAACACTGAAAGTGTCTTTTTACATACAAGTAAAGCCAAGAGTCTTTTCAAACATAATTTCAATATCCACAAAAGTCAGAGTGCGCTAAATAGACAATCATGCGGAAGAATCAGGTTATTGACACTCAAGTAGTTTTGAGAATAAACATAATGCTAGAAGCAGGAAGTCAACAATGTTGAGCTCTCAAAGCCACACAAAAAAGATGTATGACTCCTTTTCTTGTTCAATACTTCTAGTTCACAATAGCAGATTTACACAAAAGCCCTCTGAAGGTTTTCCCGCTCGTCCTGATCTGTGTCTTTCCAGTAATACCTTTCCACGGGAGACATGATTGTGTTTGTATATATGCCAGTCACCAGCTCATTCAAGGCTACATTCATCTACAAGTGTTCCCTTCAGTCTCTTAAACACTTCTGTGTGACAATAAGCTATGTCGTCTTGTGCCGTGTGACATTGTGCTCTATGATTTTGTACGTTGACCCTGGCTCTGTTTCCCTTTTCCGATTTCCACTCTTGTTCATGTTAAGAAAACAAAGCCAAACCGATCACAGGGCAGCATAAATTCATCATTCTTCTTAACTCCGGAAAAAGCACACTGTGGTTCCTAGACTTCCGACTCCTGTAGACATTCCTGGAATTCCGAACAGGAGTCACTGGAGTTGATCCAAGCTAAACAGTAACTCCTGTCCGTGCTTTTGACAGGTTCAGAGCTCTCTGTCATGTAGGACTCAGGGTTCAGACCCATTGTTCCCTTATTCCATTATCACCTTCAACCTCTTGCAACAAAAGTGCATTTGCAGTGTGTTTGCTCTTTATCTGTCTCACCCATACACTTCAATGCACTGCCATAAGCACAGAGCAGAAGCTAAGAAGTGTGTGTAATCTACCTGTATATTGTTTATACAATATTTTTTTTATCTCTCCATCAATTGGTATTTGGTATTTGAATCACCTATCTAGCACAGTTAATGATTTAAAGACTTGATGTTGAATCTGACCTGCGCTGTTATTCTAAGGTGCAGTTTTAGATGCTTATGTCATGAGTTATACCCTAAGATACTACATCGAATGGAGGGGATAAGTAGTAAACACTTTCCCAGCTAATAGACAGATCAAATTTAGAAGTACATTTACGCGTTTGGCAGACACTTTTATTCTAAGCGACTTACAATACTGTTAACAAAATTTGTTGGTAAGATGTTTATATGCTAATTTGATACTTAAAGGGGTTATATGCTGCGATTTCAAGTTTTCCTTTCTCTTTGGAGTGTTACAAGCTGTTTGTGAATAGATAAGATCCCTAAAGTTGCAAAGACTAAAGTCTCAAACCCAAAGAGATATTCTTTATAAAACTTAAGACTCGTCCACGCCCTCCTAAAACGGCTCATTCTAACACGCCCCACATGTCTACGTCACTGTGTGGGAAGATTTACATAACACCGCCCAAATGTATACGCAAAGAAAGAAGGTGTGACTTTGTTCTCGCTGTTGCCGTACACAAAATAATGTTCTTTTTTAGCAATGTCATATGACCCCTTTTAAAAAACATTCATTATTATCATTGTTGAAAACAGTTATGCTGCATAATATTTTCATGGAAACTGTGATACTTTTTTTCGGATTCTTTGATGAATAGAAAGAAGAACATAAGTTATTTTAAATATAAATCTTTTATAACATTATAAATGTCTTAATTGTCACTTTCGATTATTTAAAGTGTCTTAATGCTGAGTAAAAGTATTAATTGCTTAAAAAAAAACTTTACTGACCCCAAGCATTTTGAAGTTTATGCATTTTATCAAGTTCACTTTGTATTATACTTTGTATTGGATAAAAGTTTCTGCTAGATGAGTAAATGTAAATTCTGTGGGAATCAATCCCATAATCTTGCTATTGCTAGCGTTTTGTTATACTATTTGAGTTCCAAGAATGCTAAAATGAAATCTAGCCCAATATGAAACAAGCAAATACATGTAGGATTAGAAAAACAAGATTTTAATTGACAGGAATGTCAGGAATGGCCTTTTCCTAAAGACCAGAGGTCAAGTTCACTCAAGTCGTATAGTGTTAGCAGCCCACCACATTCCATCTGCTCAAAATTTCCTACTTGCTGACAGACAGCTGGACAGTGTGGTTATAATTCTACCTCATGTTTTGTGATGTTTCATATGTGGTTAGTTGACTCGGTTGCTTTCTGGGAATACAATGATCTTCTATTTTACCTCTTAAGATAGTAGAGCAGGTACGTCTTCAGAGGAAGTGTGTGGACATTCTGGCCTGTCAAATCCAGGAATGTGAAACCAAGTCATGCATCAACAGTTACTTGATAATTTCACTCCGGAGGTCTGGCAGGCTAGTGTGATGGTGGCTGTGACGTACTTCTGTCGCAAAAAATCTGCCAGCTCTGAATAATAAAAAGAAGAACACATTTTAGAGAAAAAACCACAGGAACTTTGACACAGGGCAGTGACAATATAGTTTTTCCAGACATTATACTAAGAGAGCTGTTATGACTGCATTGACATCCAGTAGTTTACTAAAGACAACTGGAAAGAAATTTAAGAAAATGTGGCAGGCAGACAACACATTCAACTAGACCTGTGAATGAATAACATTTCCTAAATACCTGGTAATGCTTCATTTCACTCTAACTGATGTAAAAACATCCAGAGTACCTGTGTGAATCGATATCCTCAGGCATAGTGGGTGGTGTAATTGTCTATAAAAATCAGCTGAAATCTACCATCTTTTTTGTAAAAAAAACTCATTAGACACGCACCAGAAATGTTCAACCTCAGTCCTATTTTTATCAGTAGAAATAGTTCATTTTTGGCATCATGAAGGCTGACATATACACACACATACAGGAGTGTGGTCTGCTCACACACACACAAACACACACATTTGCTTAGCTACCTAAATGGGGACATTCTGTAGTTTTTATATACAGCTAGTTACATATACAGGTGCATCTCAATAAATTAGAATGTCGTGGAAATATTCTAATTTGTTGAGATAGTGAGTTGGTGGGTTTTTGTTAAATGTGAGCCAAAATCATCACAATTAAAAGAACCAAAGACTTAAACTACTTCAGTCTGTGTGCATTGAATTTATTTATTACACAAGTTTCACAATTTGAGTTGAATTACTGAAATAAATGAACTTTTCCACGACATTCTAATTTATTGAGATGCACCTGTACTATAACCTTACCCTAACATTAAACTTTCTGCATTATTACAATTTAAAAAAAGCCCCTCTATTTACTTTATTTTATACCAGTTTTACAAATGAGGACATCCCCAAAAGGAGGTTTTGTCAGATTTAGCTTACTTCTGGGTACAAATGTGTCCCCAAAATATGGTTAAGTAGGTACAAAGACACAGAGACCTCACTGTCAGCACCTACTCTCACAGTTTTTAGAGTCAGCATTCCTATCCAACCCACGAGACTTACATGGCACGCTAGTGCTGATAAAGGATTAGCTATGCTAAAGCGAGTTAGATGGACTCTGAGGAGATTATTAGCCCTGCTAAACATCTTTTTAATGCTGCTGTTAGTATCATTGTCAAAATATACAACTTTTGCTTTATTTTCTAATATGCTACTTTAGAATACATTTACATTTAGTCATTTTGCAGACGCTTTTATCCAAAGCGACTTACAATTGGGGAATACATTAAGCGATTCTTCTTAAAGAGGCAAACAGACACAGGAAGTGCTTGAAATACCAAGTTTTAGGAATTGTTCAAATAAGTACAAGCTAGAAAGGGAAGGAATAAATAAAGAGAAAGAAAGAAAAATTTTTTTTTTTTTTTTTTTTAAGATGAAACCAAGTAGCGTTTAAAGAGATGAGTTTTCAGCTGTCGCTTGAATTGTCAGGGATTCAGCATTCCGGATAGGGGTGGGAAGATCAATCCACCAGCCAGGAACTGTGAACAAGAATGTTCTGGAAAGTGATTTTGAGCCTCTCTGTTCCTGAAACCTGACTGGTTAGCGTCCAGTTTGTTGTTCTGTGAAAGAAACAATGATACCTGGTTGAAAACAACTCGTTTGAGAGTTTTCGCTATGAACGGAAGGAGCCTGAACAAGATATTTTAGCACATTAGCACTAGAAACATCCTCTTGTTTTCTGTTCACGGGTCTGCTATAAATAGTGGGCTTGGTTCTAAAGAGCGCATGAAATCAAGATTTGAGTTGTGTGGCCTTTAGTGTACTCCTAGAAGTTGACAATTTATTTTTAGCAGATGTAGACATTTAAAAATGATCTTGCAGGAAAACGGAACAAAAATATTACTGATTCATCCTGCACTACACTTTTTGTACAATTATTATACTATCAAATGCTCTCTAGAATGACGATATCCCCTGCTAATATCACATAGGAAATTAGCCATGTGCTTATTAACATTAAGAACCAATTGCTGACTACTGACTGAGTGAATCCTAAGTGAGCACACAGCATAAAATTAAATCAGTTTGTAAAATTGAAACTAAACTAAATGCCTCCTTGATAGTTTAATCATGTTTATTGTCTTTTTATAGATATATTGACTCACTGTTCAACAGATACCAATAGCATAAGACAAGTTAACACAATTAACCGTTCACCCTGTAACTGATTGACAGCACAGCTCTTGAAGACAATATTAGGAAGTTAATTATTACATTTAATGTCGCTGATGACTCGCAGCAGACTTTTCCTTTGTTTGCTAATGAGTGCTCTTTTGTTTGTGTCTCTATGTGCTAATGCAGATATCAGACACGCTGCAGGAGAGCTATGCCACATCATCGCTATGGCAGTTCCTGAGCTTGGGCTATGCCCTCATGCTCTGCCCCTTTGTCATCGTTCTGGGGGGGATGTTCTTCCTGGCCACCGCCCTCTTCTTCCTCGACGACCGTGACAAAGCGGAGAAACAGTGAGTGCCTAGGCCTGTACTTATAACCTTGAAAGCGGTAATACAGTCCAGTCTTTTAAGTCATTATTATTCAAGTTGAACTTGAACTTGAAAGTCATTATTCTGACAACTATCTAAAGACATCAAGGTGCTTCCCTTTCAAGGGTTTCTTACTTTACGTTGCTAAACGGGGTTATCATTTCCGATTTCCTCCACTGACAATGACAATCCGGAAAAATAGTGGTTGCCATGGTGATTTTGGTAGCCTTAGCCATCTTTGTGTGCCTGGTGAATAGCTTCAGGTGGACAGTTAATCCGTGAGGATAAGCGAGATGGATAGATGGACAGAGATCTAGATGTATTCTCAAACAAGGACACTCTGCAGTTTAGTAGATCAAGACCTTCTCTTACTCAAATCATTAACCAGTACAGGAGAGATTTCAAAGTAAATGTAATTTCAGTAGACTAGCATTAGGCAGAGACCAGCTAACTGAGCAATTTTATGAAAGTAGCATTTATGGACAGTTTTTTCAAGACTTTGTCCAGTAAAAACAGTCATGACGACATTAGAGGAATTGAACATCAAATAAACCCCAATGTTGTTTCTTGCTATTCAAGCTAACCAGACATGTCATTTCACTTTAACATGGCATACATAAGCCATCATAGGATACTTTGTCCTATATATATGTACATTTAAACATTTTAAAACAGACCTTCATCTAAAACATATATGGTAGAGTCCCATTCCTTTAAAAGATAAAGACAAACATGATACCCGAACTTTGCGACTCACTTTCTGTTTTGTGGCCGTCTTTTATCAAGTGGATTTCCTGTGTGTGTTGCCACTCAAAAATGACTTCCTTCCTGTCTGCTTGGGGACATTTTTAGGCAGGGTGGTATGTTGGATTACTGCGGAAGATCGTCCCACGATAGGTTTTAGAGACAGCCCAGGATGTTGACTGTTCTTCTCGTCTCGCCATCTATTACAACAGGCACATAGAGCACATTTTTCACATGGAGCTACTCAGCAGGATTGTTAAATGTTCTTTTTTCCTGTTATATATCATATGTAGTGGAATACAAATAGTGCACTTGAAACCATAGGCACAGGTCTTAAATAAATCAATCCTAACATGAATAAATCTTGACAAAAAATACCGTGACCATGTTTAAAGGTGTTGTGTCAAACAGAATAATATATTACTGACTATTTTCAAGTAGGTTTCCCTGAACACTTTCCACTCCTACTATTGGTCAGGTAAGCAAAGAGCCCTGCCCAAAACTTTCACAATTGGTGGAGCCAGTGTTGCTATGCCAAGCTGGTCAGATACTCATACAAACAGAGCAATGTTTGTAAAGAGCCACAGTGCTTTTTTTAGGGAAATAAACCTATGAATGACTTATAGTTGTCTCTTTATATTATAATGGGATGAGAGAGCATATTTTAACATTCAAAAAATTGCAAACTTCACTTCAAGTGTAAAATAAATTATAACAAAAAATAATTGAACTTTAAATTTAGAATATGATAATAAAGCTTCACCTTTAAATTTAGAATAAATGATGAATAGTTAATTTTTTAAATTTAGAATAAGATTTTAAAAAAGAACGTTTAAATTTAAAATAAATATGATATTCACCTTTGAATTTAAAATATGACAAAGAACTTAACCTTTAAATTTTGAATATGATAAAAAAAAAATCACCTTTAAATTGACTAAATATGACAAGTGAAGGTGTATCCTTAAAGACATTCAAAGCAGTTTACTCCCTCTGTTGGTTGCAGATTATACCAAAGATTTACCTCACCATTGGTTTTATGCAGCCACTGAATTGCAGCTATATATGCTATGTAATGAGCTGCTAAATCATGCATGCCAAAAGCAGCAGCTTTATATCCAGTTGTTATGAGCCTGTGCAATTATACATTTAACATTTCCAACAAATACTCGTACATAACACCCTTCTCACAATTGTTCATATGCATTGCATCCTCACGAGTCATCATCCAGTCTTAAAATAGAATTTTAACTGTGCTGTCTCAAGCCCATTAATTATTTATTCACAAATATCTTGTTACATGAATATAACATTCTTGTTTGTCTTCCTCTATTTATAGACACAACATGCAAAATGAAAGGCGTTCACTGGAGTGGAGGAATATATATTGAGCTTAAAGAGTACTTTATTTCTAGGCTGTTAGCTGTTTTGGGCCGTGAGGGAGCCATTTATAGTGCAGGGGAAAACACTGTGCACCCAGGCAGTCACGCAAAAATACACACACGCACGTATTTGTCTCATATCCTTTTCTGCCTGGCATCAGTTGGCATGGTGTCCATGGGGACATACTGTAGATATAAGCATCCCTTAACTGTGTGTTAAAGCACTAGCAGCCTGTGAAGTGTCTCCATTGAGATTTCCAATAGAGTGACTGAAATTACAAGAAGGCAAGAAAGGAACATCTTATCACAGGGCAAAAAAGGAAAGAAGTGAAAATGCTGAGATGATGAGGAGAACTGAAGTACTTATACACAGAATTAGTGTTTCTCGCATTAAGAATCTGGATCCTCACTAACTTTTGTCACTACCCTGACCACTTGTGGTCACACTGAATCAAACCACTGCTGTACCTCATTTTACTCAGAGCTTTGCATCTAAACAGTAATATTTCATTAATGCTGCTGTGAATTTGTAAATTAAAATGATCAAACTTTTTTTAAGCCAAGGACCCCTAAACATGAACTAATGTGTAATATATATA